AATCTTTTCGGTTTTTGTCGTATTTGAACATGACAGATCTGAGCAGACTGGTTTTGTTGTGCAACATTTGGTCTGTAAAACCTTTTTAAACACTTTCTCAATCCTACAGTTTGACTGCGCAACGGAGCTCTCTTATCCCAAAACACTCTGGAGTTTTTGCTTTATTTAAAAACCACTTTAGAATTACTCCTACAGCCACAAAATAGCCATTTTAAGGCCGGCGATGCTGGTGAAGTTATTTGTGAGGTGGATTTCTGTGTCAGTAAAAATGGCTGCCGTCTGTCTGGTTCGCGTGTCTGCATCCTCTTCTCTCTCGTAAAGCATTTTCCACGAGAGTGACAAGCAAACAGAGGACTCAGCAACCATATAACAGAACAGGAACCATGTTCAGCTGGTGCAAGCCTCAAGTGTAAGGTCAAGAATATTTGCAGCTTATATAAATGTAATAGAATTAAAATATACAACTCATTCAGAAGCTTCTAAAAGACAGTGCATGGATGTCATCAAAGTGGAATAAACTACTCTTGATATTCTGCAGAAAAAGAGCCGTATTGAGAAAGAGCTGCTAATAATTTGTGGCCGAGGCCTGTAAGAGCTTAGTAAACTGGCTGAAGATGAGAAGGCAGTGGTGTAGTGTATGTGATACGAGGGTATACGGAGTATACCCACTAGAAAATCTTGGGAATTTCTGTATACCCACTAAAAAGTGCCACTGACATGAGCCCATGTCACGTACCGTTGGCAACGATACATGACATGGGCTTGTATCATTGTCAACACATTTGGAACATTTTAGAGACACATTGAGTTGGTTCAACTTGTTTTTTTGTATAATTAATACTTCTGTATAATACTTGAACATGTTTTGCTTTGATACTGTTTTGTCAATTCTACAACATGTTTTTAATACAAAGCCGAACGTTGTACAAAGTTTGTTGTACATTTATTCAGATATAAGCACCAGAGAAATTTGGAAATGTTCGATATGCTTAAAAATCAAAATAAATTAACGATTGCATTGTACTAACCGGTGTACTTTGGTTTCTAAGCACAGTATAGCCACTACAAAAATGTAGACTACACCACTGTGAGAAGGTTGACGTCCTTGTGTAGCCGATTTGTTATAAAGGGTTAGATGGGCTGTCAACTAATGAGTAGTTTGCTCTATTAAAAGAAATATACCTGGAGCTGGACCCATGGAAATTCTGATTTAACCTGGCCACAGATGCCTTTTTGAGTAACTTCCCCTTGATTCATGGTGATATTTAATAGTGCAAGTTTACCTCACAATGTGACCAACCAGCCATCACAACAAAATTAATAATTTTTTGATGCAACAGAAAAATACAGCAACACTGATGCAGGGCAAGCATTGGTTTAACCCTCCTAAATGACCCATTTCCATTTAGATGATGTCACCTGATTACCAGCTATAACTCACTGCTTTTAATAAGGGGATGCCATTTTTATTGAGCCTCTAATGAAATAAGAAAGTTCGTGTAGTAGTTTGATGAAATGTGAGGTTTTAAAACTGCTGAGAGTTAAATATTTAGCAGAGGTAAATACTCCTATTAACCTTTATCGACTGCGTTTGGGCTCGAATCTAAAATCCAACACCTAAATGCAGTGATTTTCTGGTTGGATGCTTGCAGGGGTTTGGACCAGAGGTGTGCTAACGGTTTGATGCCAAGATGCATCCCTTTTGTAGACTAAATTCTCCGTTGGCGCGTTGATTAAACATAAAAAGTGCAACCTACAGAAAATGTTTATTTTGTGATCATTACCTTGTTTTTTTGGCTTTAGAAGAAAAATCAGTTTAAATGTCAGAAGAAGAAAAAAAACAAACTGCTGTTAAAATGTTTTGTAATGAACCCTGGAATCACTTAATATGAACAAAATAGAATAAACACATCTGGCGTGTAAAAACAAATCCAACAAAAGGGACAGTTTGGTATAAAGCTAAACACAAAGACAGGAACGCTGAACCAGTAACACAACCAGCCTGACTAATGAGCCAACACTCGTTAACGTTGTCCTTCGGTTCTGAGAAAAAAATAATACTTTTATACATCACTGGCAACGTTCAGAGCAAAAGAGTCTATGAATTTATTGAATCTCTGGCAGCGGCAGGTTTCACCAACTGATGATGTAAAATAAACTATTCCTGCTGGAAAGTCTATCTCCATCTCCTCCGAACATCACTCCGACTCCTATAACATAAAGTTGCAAAAGTACCGTACATGTCGCATCAGTCCAAAGTGGAAAAAAAACAAATACGTCACTTCGCCGTATTAGTCGCATCTATAATGCGTCAGCGATGACGCGTCGCATTTGTAACGCGTCACCACTGACAACCCGGAAACATGTGCCAGTGTTGTGCCAAACATTGATTGGCTGCCAAATGGCGGACGTGGGAGTGTGCACGGGAGGACTTTAACAAGATTAACGCTTAAAAACAATTATTTGTTTGGTCGACATTATAGTAAAGGTGTGTCTCAGTTGACCTTTTCCTTAATAAATGCACTTTGATGGTCAAATCAGCTGCATTTCGGCTGGGCGGCGAAATGCAGCTGATTTGATGTTTGCTCCAGGAGTTCTGGAGAAAGACGAAGGTGGCTTTGTATGGCAAGCCAAGTGTCTCATTAATAGCCACTTTTACCTATGAGACACGTGACTTGCCATATCAGTCGAGGGCCCTCTAGTGGCTGAAAATGGTAGTGTTCAGTATTTTCCATGTCAGAATGAATGAAATTGTCAGATCGCAGCCAAAAATTAGGTTATAAATATGGAGAAAAAACATAAATATGTCGCTTCGCTGTGTAAGTTGCAGGGCATGCTAATTTATGCAAAAAAAATGTGACTTATACAGCGACAATTACAAAAGTGGTTGAGCCAGCTGTGACTGTTGGAGACTGTTTGGCAACTCAAAATGTTGAGAAAATGCAGTTTCAGTGGATTCTGAGCGTTTGCAACCAAGAGAACAGAAACCTGTGTCTGACTTATGTGTGGCCAATTGTTGGAAAATCACAGCCTTCTTCATCCGCATGGCTTTCCAAACTGAACTGTAGGTCACGTGCATTATTGTACTGAACACCTCTCACACCCTCCTTGGCAGCTGACCCCCCCCCCCCCCCCCACGTCCATGATTTAATGTACTGGAGTAGACTTTGGAACTAAAAATAGTTGGATTAGGACCAGTTTTTAATAATAATAATAATAAGAAGAAGAATCCATCGTTGGTGTTTGTTTTTAAATGTGGACATGAGAGTCGGCGTCATGCTCTCGGTCATAAAGACGGCTTCTGTGCAGCTCTAGCTCTTTAGCGTTAATAAAAAATTTAACACAGAAAAGGTGTGAGATGCCTTCAAGGACTCGTGCAAATGCTGTTTGTCAACTAGCTGCAACGTAAACCGATGCAATGTCAATATGCTCCAAAACATTATGACGGCTCAAACTAGTTTATAAGCCTGCAACCTCACATCCATCCATCCATCATCTTCCTCTTGTTCTGAAGTCAGGTCTCGGGGGCAGCAGCTTGAGCAGGGAGGTCCAGACATCTCTTTCCACAGACACCTCTTCCAGCTCTTCTGGGAGGACTCCAAGGCGCTCCCAGACCAACTGAGAGAGCGTGTCCTAGGTCTTCCCTGGGGTCTCCTCCCAATTTGACATGCCCAAACCACCTCAACTGGCTCCTCTCGATGTGGAGGAGCAGCGGTTCTACTCTGAGTCTCTCCTGGATAACTGAACTTCTCACCAAAAAAGTCCATGCTCAATAATCCAGGTATACAATCCAACAATTTTCAGTCAGGTCATCTGGACAGTTTCTTTTTTTTGTTGAAACATTTTGTTCCACTTTGGAGTAAGCTGTTTGGGGGAAGAATCAGTTTTGTTGTGCGTTTCCTTGACTGATGAGGCCTTCTGGATGGAAGGTGAAACGTTTCAACAAAAAAAAAAGAAACTGTCCAGATGACCTGAACTTCTCACCCTATCTCCAAGAGAGAGTCCAGCTACCCTGCAGAGGGAATCCATTCATTCAACCTTTATTTATTCAGGTTAATCCCACTGAGCCTCGGAGACTCATTTACAAGAGAGACCTGAACCGCCTGTATCCACGATCTCATTCTTTCGGTCACTATCCAGAGCTTGTGACCATAGGTGAGGGTAGAAACGTAGACCAACTGGTAATCAGAGCTCAGCTCACTCTTCACCACAATGGACCGGTACAGAGTCCACAATACTGCAGACGCTGTACGATTTCAATGAGTCAGTCTCACACTCCATTCTTCCCTCACTCATGAACAAAACCGCCATGTGCACAATATTAATCAAACAAAATTTTACAAGCAGTTTGTGCTAGTAAAAAGGTTTAACTTTGAAAGAAATCACACTCCTTTGTTTCAAAGTGTGACTGCTGAAAGTGAGGGTCAGGGTGAAGGGGGGCACCTTTTCAAAGGGGGGGTCCCGACAGACAAAACTTCAAGAACCGCTGAGTTCAACTGGGGCCCAGATCATAATAAACTTGGTGCCCACATCTTCTCAAAAAGTTGAGACTAATTGAATCAAAATGTTGTAATATTCTCTAAAGGAACTTGTGCTGTAATAAAAACTTTTAATAAAAAATAAATAAAAAATAATGAAGTCTGGTTTTTTTTTAAATAAGGCCTCTCTCCTCACACAACAAGTGATTGGAAAAGAAACATGATTATGAGTGAATTAAATTTTGATGCCAGCAAAAATTCCCTCTCCTAGTTTGTAAAAAAAAAAAAAAAAAAAAGGTTTAATTACACAATTATAGCTTTTAGACTGGAACGGAGCAGAGAGATTGAGCCCTCATGATCAATGTCTGCTCTGGTTGTCATTACGTTGATGAAGTTTTATTAAAGTCATCCATCATCAGCGTAATCAATTCAGATAAGAGACGGAGAGTCTGCCGAGGAGGTCCGACTCGTACGGAGCCGACGAGCTTCGCGTTTATGCGTTCATCGTTTCGGATCGCTCACCGAGCACGCCCAGGCGGTAGTTCATGGTCACCACGATCACGTTGCCGTAGGCGGCGAGGACGCTGGCGTCGAACATGTTCCCGGTGCCTTCCATGTAGGAGCCGCCGTGGATAAACAGCATCACGGGTTTCTTCCTGCGGTCACGGATATCTAAACACGCACAGAGAAACAAAAAGCAGGGTAGAAAGTCAATAAATGTGTTTACATCTCTCATATTCTGTTTGATCAAACACCGCGTTAGGCTATAATATATTGAATAAACAGCAAATTGTTCAGCTGGATCAAAACAAAGAACTATGAGTGGGTATAAAACGCCATTCCCTCCCTGCGGATGAAAGAAGCTTTATGTAATTTAGACTTTAATCAACAAGAAAAGCAACGGCAAGAACCCGTTTCCTGTTGATTAAACTTATAACACCTGCAGAAAATCATTTGATACGAGGTTTACTATTTTTAAATACCTTTCTCTCACATTAAAGACAAAAACCGGTGCATTTCTGAGCACAGAGCACGAGAAACTGCACGTTGAATTGAATTTTCCTGCACTAGGAGGTTTTAAATGCGAGCAGAACATTAACAAAAGATAAATGTTTCTGTGTTAAGGTTTCTTTTAAGTCTAACCCAAAAACGTCCCCGCTCCCAAAAGAAAAAAAAAAGGCGTTAATAATCTGTAATCTGGGATAAAAATAAGGAAACATGACGCCCAACGTTCAGAAGAGCTGCGACAGAAAAGATTAAAAACCAAAAAAGCATTCTGCGCGCCGTCAGCAGATAATATAAAGCCACCGGCACTTAAGACATGAAGTTTGGAATAAATTTACCTAATTTCAGCACTTTATTTTGCACATTAGAGCTGGGAACTCCTATAAATACAAAGTGCAAACTGCTCCTGGCTGCACGGACAGCGTGTTTGAAGGATTTCTAGGTCGGCTCCCCTGAGAGGAATCTTAGGAAAACAGAAGGTTTTATTAATGCTATCAGTTATGGACTGACACGGATCATTAGCGGGCGCTGCCTTGAGGTACAACATGGACACGTAACAGAAATGTCTCATGGAAATGTCAAGTTTTATCATGGAAAATAAAAAAAAGTTTAGGGAAATTTACATTCAATAAGTTTATTTTTCAACCAGTAACTTTAGTTTAAAATCTTAGAACCCTTTCACTAATACCCAACAATGTTCAATACCACTTTACAATAAGGCTCCCATTATAGATGGCTAATAAATAGTTTATAGATATGCTATTAATTCCTCTATAAACATTCTATTAACCCATTAGTAATTGTCAATTATGCATTAATTAAGGGTGACAGAGACAAAACTGACCAGTTTGTTTCCAAATAGTGATCCAAATCTGTTCACCTATATATTTCATATAGAGTTGTTATATTAAACATTTCAGACTAAGTTAATACCTTGTAAGCACAATAAGCATTTTTAAACCTAATTTTTTTTTACGATATATTCTTTGGACTATAAGGCACACTGGATTATAATGTGCATTTAGCAAAACAAAACAGTCAGACAAGTCAAAATTTATTCAACTCATTCATGATAACAACATTGTTCAGTTGCACCACATAAAATTGGTTCGAGATCAGTAAGCGCAAACAGAATTACCGTACTTGCTGCCGTACACATTGCACCGTCATATAAGTGGCATCACTCCAAATATGTCTAATAAAGTGGAAAATTCCATAAATATGTCGCTTTGCCGTATAAGTCGCATCTATTATGCATCACTGCTGACAACCCGGAAACATGGGCCGTTGTGCTCAAAATCGATTGGCTGCCAAATGGTGGCCACGGGAGCATGCACGTGAGGACTTTACAAGAATTTAACAAGATTAACACTGAAAAACAATTATTTGTTTACTCAAAATTATAGCAAAGGTGTGTCTCGGTTCAACTTTTCCTTAATAAATGCACTTTGACGGTCACATCAGCTGCATTTCAAAAGCCAATTTGCGGCTGTGGTAGCTTACAGAGGGACGACTCGCTGTGCATTTCTTCAAAATTTAACAAGATAACCACCTAAAAACAATTATTTGCTTGCTTGACATTATAGTAAAGGAGTGTCTCAGGTTACCTTTTCCTTAATAAATGAACTTTAATGGTCAAATCAGCTGCATTTCATCAGGGCGGCGCAGTGAAATGCAGCTGATTTGACGTTTGCTCCAGGAGTTCCAGAGCGAGACGAAGGTGGCTTTGTATGGCAAGCCAAGTGTCTCATTAGTAGCCACTTATCTATTATTGATTAACTTGGCTTGCCATATTAGTCGAGGACCCTCTAGTGGTTGAAAATGGTAGTGTTCAATATTTTCCATGTCAGAATGAATGAAATCGTCAAATCTCAGCCAAAAATTGGAATATAAATATGGGAAAAAACAAATATGTTGGTCAGCTGTTTAAATCGCAGGCATGCTAATTCATGCAAAAAAGTGAAAATTCTGGTTTACATAAGGCATGCTGGATTATAAGGCTCACTGTTGATTTTTGAGAAAATTAAAGGATTTCAGTGCGCCCTATAGTCTGAAAAATACGGTAGTTGTTGATACTTATAATGCAGTGATAAAGTACAACATTATATCCTAAAAAAAAAATAGGTTAACAAATGCTTATTGTGCTTACAAGCTAGTAACTTAGTCTGAGATGTTTAATTTAACAACTCTAAATGAAATATATAGGTGAACAGATTTGGCTCACTATTTGGAAAGAAACTGTCATTTTAATGCACAATTAACAATAACTAATGATTTATAAAGTATTTATAGAGGAATTAATAATGTATCTATAAACTATTTATTAGCCATCTATAAGGGGAGCCTTATAGTAAAGTGGTACTCAATGTTCTGTCAGGTCATGTGGATGTTTTTTTTTTTTTTTTGCTGAGACATTTCGTCCTTCATCAGTCTTGTTATGTCTATTTTTTTGATTTACTTCATTTTGTACATTGCTTTGTGTGTTACCTGTTGTTCCGTCTGTACTTCACTTTGGTTGGCCTTGTAGCTGTTTTAAGTGCTCTATAAATAAAATGGTATGGTATGGTTTGGTTTGTTGGTGGCTCCTCAGGTTGAAGAAGTCCTTTGGATGAAGGACGGAACGTCTCAGCTTAAAAAAGAAGCCGTCCAGATGACCTGACTGAACGTTTTTGGATTTTATAACTGGAGATTGAGCATGATCTTTGATGCTTTACTAATACTGTCTTTATTCTTTCAAAATGCATTTAAATAATTGCTTTAAATATTCGCACCAAGGCTGTGCAAAAGTCTTAATCAATCCCTTTTATTTCTGTATGGTTCTTCTAAGTTGGACTTTGGTGAAATCTTCTAAAATTGTCGTGCTCGGGAGTTCTTCTGCTGCTTTTTAACTTATTTTCTGTCCATTCTCTGATCATTTTCAGAAAAAAAAAACAGTTGTTTATTGTTAGGGGAATTTAGTTCAGGGTTATGGATGTTTGTTAGTAACTAGTGTTAAACTAATGTGTGTGAGTTAGAGAGTTGATTGTGTGTCTGCAGGAGCACAGAGCCTGCAGACCTGATAAACTCCAAGGCCTCTAAGTTGGAAAGCAGAGGCCGTCTTGACCTCATCTCTGTCTGATAAGCGTTATAAAAAGGCACTTCTTTAAACTGTCCATGGCCAGATCTGAGCTTCAACTTAACATCTGTGTAAGCGCGTTTTCAATTCTGCACCCTTGCAAGTAAAATACTGAGTTGAAAGATCTCGTATCCTCAGTGTGACTAATCTGATTAATGAGATGATGAAAGGGTAATTAATTTATCCATTTGTGTCCCATAACTTTGACCTATGAACCATTCAAACTTCATAAAGCTCTTTGACTCAACAGTCGTTGAACAACTTGATAAGATTTTTAAACCTTTTGCGCCACAATCAGGGAGAAGAACACATTTTGGACACATTCCCCACAAATTCAGTTACATTTCTGCCGTCTGGTAGAACCCATGTGCAGGCAGGACGCCGAGAACTCAGGATTAAAATAATATACATATAATAAATGAAAAAACAAAAGCCGACGTGCAACAAATTTACATAATCACTGGGAAGACACAGAGGGAGACAGAACCAGAACGCCATTCCTGACAATGTGCGGGGAACATAGAGCTGCAGACTTAACTAGAAACCACTACCGAGGGGATAAACACAAACACCTGGGGAAGGACGACAGGTGGTGGAGCAGGAGCTGATCACATGAGGGAGAAACACTGAGGACAGGACAGACGACAAGGATCACAAAACACACACAGATCCTCTCAAACTAAAAAAATAAAAATACTAAAACACAACACGGATGGACACAAAAGACAGTATTTAGCACAATAGCTTAAAAAAATGAATAAAAGTCTACGATTAACTGAAGGATGGTGCATCTTTGCCAGTTTTTTAATACGTGACCTTCAAGTAATCGTCAGTTTGGTATAGTTTTCTCTCTATTTTAGTCCTGAAACAACTTTTTTCAATATTTATCTACTTTTCTCACTTTCTAGGCACAAACGGCACATTATTATACAGTAAAACAGTCGGCTAACTATGGTCTGGTACTGGATGGAAAATCAGTTAAAAAGCAGCAAATGTCCAAAAAGAATTCAATATGTTCAGAAAAATTGAAGAATGAATGACCAAGGCCACTGACACTTTAAAAACAAAGTATAACGAAACTTGAAAAATGTATTTTCTGTGAAAACTACTAAAAGGTTTTGCTGAAACTTGCTGAACAAGCTGAAACTGAGTTGTTAAAGCTAAAAGAAGACTTTTAAAAGAAGCTAAATGTCAGCTAAAAACTAAAATTTAGGGGGAAACAAAACAACTAGGTAAAAGTATTATCTAAATGCATTTCTATAAAGGACATTGTACATTTTTTGAAAAGTTATGGAATGTATGAAAGTCATAGATCCCCTCTCCTGGATGAGCTGAACGTTTTTAGATACGAGCAGGTAAATGAGAACAAACGTAGAAAAATAAAACGAAAAATCTAATGATTCATCCATCCATCTATCCATTATCTTTTACCCGCTTCTTCCATTTGGGGTAACGGGGATCGCTGGTGCCCATGTCCAGCAATCATTGTGCGAGGGGCGGGGTACACCCTGGACAGGTCGCAAGTTCATCACAAGGACACATAGAGACAAAC